TCCAAACTACGAAACCTGACATCCTGGTCAATTTGAGATGAGGTTGGCATTCATTTCTGATCCACAGCAGCAGTGAGAAAAGGTCCCTGTAATACTGCAGAAGCAGCAGTACGAAACTTGAGCAGTTACTCCCATACATCTATTTTGTAGGGTAGGCCTCTTCCCAAGAATCAGCATCTCAAGTCTCTGCCTTAAAAGTAGGTCAAATTTGGCTGGGCGTGGTGGTGCACGCCTTTAATCCCAGCACTGGGGAGGCAGAGGCAGGTGGATCTTTGTGAGTTCAAGGCCAGCCTGATCTACATAGTGAGTTCCAGGACAGCTGGGGCTACAGGGAGACCCTGTCTCAAAAAGACAAAAAAAAGAGTAGGCCAAATTTTTGCATTATTAAAATATGTACTCATTAAAAAGTTAAGGGGAAAGGAAAATAAGAAAAAATGTTTCTAGCTCACTACTGCAAAATAGTCATCATTAATGTTTTAGAGTACTAGCTTTGCCAGCTGGGCGAGGCGCTACTTATATAAGGCTCTGAGAGGCCACTGCCAAATCAAATAAAGTATGACAATCAGAAGCTGACAGAGATAATGACAGCATTCTTTTTCCATATATATATATATATATAAATGTATGTATGTATGTATATGGCGGACATGGCCTCACAGAGACTTTCTTCATTATAATCAAAAAGTTTTGATTATACTAAATGCCAAGGGTTACAAATAAACAGTCTCAGTAGTTTCTATTATCAACCCAAGACAATTCCCTCAAGCAAAAACTGCAAAGGAGAATGTAACAAAGGGCCAAGATATCACTAAAGCCAGACACACATTTACACAACTCACAAGAAGAGTCAAGGGAATCTGAGAAGGGAACTGTTGGGAGTCACTCTTACAGGAATGGGGCCATAAATACACAGTATTTTGTAACCTGCTGATTGTACCCAATAGACACAAAACATTATCATTCCAAAGACTACACAGTGTTGCACTATTGGGCGTCGTCATGAATGAACCTTTCTATTACTGTTTTGGGGGGATACTTTGATGAATTTATAGGTCAGTAGTTCTTACATTGTCTAATAACTAAAAAAGCTTTTTTTCCCGCCAAGCTTTTCTTATTAAGTTTTTTAGTGAATAACAATGAGACAAAGTTTATCTCAAACCACTTTGCTACTTTTATTTTTAAAGGCACATATATAAACTAGCTATAAATTGATTTTAGAACAAACTTTATTTTTCCAAGGAAGAAATACCAGAAAAGAATGAATAGTAATTTCTTTTTGTACAGAAATAAAAATGCTTTTTTTTTGGGGGGGGTGGCATGATGGGATTAGACCTAGAGTCACATATGCTCTACCACCAAGTTGAACCTCTAGTTCCATAATAGTCTTTTGACTGCTATCATTAGGAACACAGTCAATGACATATTTGGATTTTTTTTTAACCTTTTGGATATATAGTTACTGAGGTTTCATAGGTTTAAAGAAACTACTTAGATTTAGGATGTTAGAAATCATCCTCTCTGCCCTCTGGGTTGGCGAGACACATCTAACTTAGTGTGCAAACCACTATGTTCCCAGAGTTTCATATATTCTGAAAATTGACACAGATGTACAAAAACAAAACCAAGCCAAACAATCTTTTCAGCTTGATGTCTGAGATTTTTCCAAATATAACAAGAGCCAAAACCAGAGTAATAACAGCAGTATACACGCTTCCTGCCTTCATCTTGCTATGTTCCCTTACAAAGCAAAGTGGGCTTTGAGCTAAACTCTCTTTCCCTGCCTATTTTCACGTCAAGGACTATGTGATGGTCTGAAAATATTAATTATATCTATAAAGGCCAAAGATTTTTGCCTACTCTCTTTCAAGTGCTAAAATACTAGGGCCACATTCCCTGGCTAAGGGATGACATGTCTTTGGCCACAGCAGTGTTGCTTATATACTTTTAAAAACATGTCCTTACAGAGTCTTTTCTTCGTTATCATCACAAAAAGCTTTGACTGTACTAAAGGCTAGACCAGCTATAACAAACAGACAATCTCAGAAGTTTGTGTTATAAACTTAAGACAATTCCCTCAAGCAAAAACTGCAAGAGAATGTAAGAAAGGGCCAGACATTTTAAAATTCAGATGCATTCATATGACATGCAAGAAAAGTCAGGGGATCCAAGTTAGGGAATGGTTAGAACTTGACTAGGCAGGAAAGAACTGTCACTTACCTGACAGTTTGTGAAATATGAGTGGGCAGAGCCCAAGCAGCCTAGGAGGTCAACTGAATAATTCGACCTTTTCTTTTTTGAGTGCTTCATATGTATACCATTGGTTATTTGCTATACAAAGAAATGACGAGCCAAAACTTGTCCCTCCCTGTCCTGTACCTCTAATAGAGAGGCATAGTGCATCATCCTATGTTTATAGTTTCTTTAGGTCCTTGTATGGTACCACTTACTTCTGGGATAGTCAATGGAATTATCCAAGCAGGAATGACAAATGACATTCCTTCAGGTGCCAGGTCATCTCACCCAGCAACTTTTCTTCTCCAGAGGAAGTGAAAGAGTTCAGGAAGCAGGTAAAGTCACACTTTGTCCACAGCTACCTCTCTTCTGAATTGGGCTTCATGAAGACAAGGACTAATCTAGCCAGCAGTCTGATATCAGTGATCACAGGCTAGCACTTAGGTAGCTGTGACAAAGTCAAATGGGAGGGAAGAATCTATTTAGCAATGAAACCCAGTAGAATACATCTGACAGCAAATATTATCACTTATCTTATTTCTCTGGATCCTCATTTAAAATGGATACTGTCAAGGTGGGGATGTGCCTCAGTGGAACAGCACTTGCCTAGAATATATGAGCCCTGAATTCCATTTCCA